ACCAGTCGCATTCTCCTGCGAAAAAAGGCTATATGACATTTAATGCATTGCCGGCAAATAAACAAGACAGACATTTGCGACAAGTACAAATTATCCTTCGTCACGCAGGCGCCCATATTTCGCTATATCATATCGATTGGACATGATAAAAACAATATGAAAATATTTAGTGTCATTCAATCAACTACTTGACGTAATTATGCAGTGCTTATGCTTTCAAAAGAAATCGAAAGTTTCATTTTAGCTTCAATAACAGTGAGGAAATTTCTAATGTAAACACTGTATGGCAGAGGCGACTTTCTGGCGCGCGTCAAAAATAACAAAGCTCTACTTTCCACAAGTCGCGACATTTCAAACATTTCAGAATGAAAAATATTGCGTTGAAGCTAATTATAAGCAATAAAGATAAAAGCGCCATTGGAAATTAAAGGTGAATGCTGAAACAAACAAAATTTGTTTCGTAGCAATTAACTTCTACCTTTTGTCTACGTTAATATTGGCAACCAAATGTTTCTAATCAATTTTGTCGGTGTTTACGCATACGAAGAATGATCTTCAAGTCTATCATTTCTTTTCCTTTCTTCTTTTCTCCCTCGCCGCTGTTTTTCTTGTTTACATCCACTTCAGCAGGGATATAATTTACCATGCTTGACTATTGCTACGTCATAGTTTCGTCATAATTTCGCCATAACCAAGGTGGCGGATTTCAATTTGAAAATGGCGATTTTTGGAACGTAATTGTTCGCTACTAAAACGCTTTTAGCTCAAATGAATGGCCAGTTAGGACAGTGCAAGCAAGGAACTATTGATTTAAGTAAACTTTTCTAGACCGTACCTTCCCTTTAACTGGGGTGTTCCCGGTACTGCCAAAACGCGTTCTTTTGCTCATTGCCACTATTGTAAATTTGGGGATAAACAATTTTTTCAGTCAAATCTGTCACAGTTTCTCCGCTACTGTGAGGCTATCTTACCGACTTCGCGGGAGCTAACAATCACAGCACCAAATTAGTAAAGCAAATAACCGTCAATTTCAAACGCAGTTTTCGGAGTAATAGCAAAAGGTGTGCTGAGGTACGATACATTCACTGATTAGTCCTATTTGTAGCGAGTAATTAGGTGTACTTTTTTGTCAAATGGAAGCAAGAAATAGTGAAAAAAATAGAGAATGGGGTGCAATTCACAGGGATTTGCACTCGGTAAAAAGGTCCTCCAATTCATATTAAAAAATGCAAAAACACAAATTGTATATTGTAAAAATGTCCTCCAATTCATATTAAAAAATGCAAAAATACAAATTGTATATTGCAAAAATACAAATTGTATATCAAAACATCAGTAGCCTCAAGTTATTGAGGAAGGGTTTATCTTCCAATTCCCAGTGTTTCTAGTCCGCATAGCTTGGCATTAGGTGATAAATGGACTTGGACTTTCCTCTTCGAAACGCCTCAACCAAATATAAGACCTCCTAGTTGGAAATGTTTGAAAATAATACACCGAAATGCCTCAACCTCATAGTAAGTCTGCCCTGTTGAAAACGTGCAAAAATAATGCACCGCGGTCGTAGTCCACAGAGCACCTGGTCAATACTCAAACTCGAGAATGTTGGGCAAATCATATTATTGCCATGGGATAGACTGGGATCCAAAGTGCTGCAAAACCAAAAATGGTAATTCATTATTCTAGTAATTTCTTTGGCAAAGGTGTGGAAGTCATACAATCGATTTAAATTTCTAACCGAATTCCAGACAAATATTACAATTTTTCCGCTTTCTTCAATCTTTTCTTACTTACTTTTTTTACTTATTCTTAATTTTTTACTTACTGACTTTTATATATGTAGGAATTTTCGATCCAAGTGAATTAATCAACAGAATTCGCCAACTATACAAGAGTCGCGAGGGACGGCTTTCACCGTTTCCATGGTGTGAAGAGTTTCAGTTTTTTCTTGGCAACATTTTTACAAGGCTTAAAGTGGTCAGAAGAAACAAAACGGGAAGAAAAGTCAAAGACATGTTTGTTGACATGTCGTCAATACTGGACCCGTATGAAGGGTGTTCAGCGCCCAGAACTGCGTTGATTGAAGGGGAACCTGGTATGGGAAAAACCACGTACTGCAAAAAGTACGTCTACGACTGGGCCACGAAAGAGGAAGAACCTCAGGGCTGTGGCGCAACAGCATTCAAAGCAGTGCTATTACTAAATTGTCGAGACATACATTCTAAAATTTGGGAAGCCATTGAGGATCAGCTTCTGCCCCGAGATATCGATGAAAAAGTCAAGCAAAATTTTTTTCAGTTTATTCGCGAAAATCAGTCCAGCATTTTATTGATACTGGATGGATTGGATGAGTTGCCTTCCAGCAAATTGCCAACTTTTTCGGAATGGATTGAAGGAAGGATACTCCCCGGATGCCACATAGTTGCAACAGCAAGACACGAAGCTGGAAAAGAGGTGAGAAAATGCTGTGACGCGCTCCTCGAAATCGTAGGATTCGCTGCAGAAGATGTTGACAAATATGTCATCAAATACTTCAAAGATAGTCCAAATTTAGCTACAAAGCTCTTGGAACGGATCAGGCGCGATAAAAACTTGAAAGAAATGGCAGTCAATCCTCTGAATACGACACTTCTTTGCCTTTTATGCGAAGAGTTTGATGGCACATTCCCTGAAAACAGAGCTCAACTATACTTGGATATGGTTGAATGTGTCTTGAGAAGATATCGAAAAAAGAAAGGACAAACAACGAATGTAGACCTAAAAAAACTTTACCAACCGCAATTGAATCACCTTGGGCTGGTAGCTTTGAATGGTTTATTTAATGACAAATTGGATTTTGATAAAAGAGAATTAGGAAACCTTGCAAAAGACTTGACTGAATTTGGATTTCTATCAGGGCAGCCTGGTGGCAGCAGATTGAGACAGAATATACATTATGCTTTCCTACATAAAAGTTTTCAAGAATTCTTTGCAGCATTCTTCATTTGTTCTAAGATTCATGGGAAGGAAATCACTGCTGAAGAACTAGTTTCCGATGAAAGGTGTTTCAGTGAACTTTGTCCAGTACTTTTGTTTACATGCGGAATTTTATCCACGCAATGCAGTGAAGAAGTTGTGCCTCTTATAAACAGTCTAGCAAACCAAGTCAGCGAAAATGAAGGCATAGGTACAAATGTTGTACTAGCGGCCATCAACGAGTGTAAAGGAGAACAATGTTTTCCCTTACAGTTGGCAAAGTGGTTTGGATCTGGTTTGAATCTTACCGAACTGGATTTGTCTCGGAGTTTAATAGGCGATACCTGTGCTACATTAATTGCTGAGGCAATCAAAGGCAACAAGACTCTGACCAATTTGAATTTGTCTGGCAATAGAATAACTAATGCCGATCCTACATCTATTGCTGAGGCAATCAAAGTCATCAACACTCTGACTAATTTGGATTTGTCTGACAATCTTATCACTGATAGCGGAGCTACATCTATTGCTGAGGCAATAAAAGTCAACAATACTCTGACCAATTTGCAT